GGCAAGGATTTGCATCAAGAGGAGTTCGTTCCTTCTGTGGTTTACAGTTGCTCCCCAGAGTTGTTTTCTGTGCAGTTAACGTGTCAGGGATTGCATCTGGACTTGAGGATTCCTTTTTTAAAAATTAATTTAATTTTTTATAGTAAACAAAATGACTATTTGAAGTTGAAATCAGAATCTCTATTTGCTGTGTACTAAAGTGTGCTCTCTTTGATACAACAGAAAATGTGACATGAGTACAGTTGTATTAAGCTGTTTTGTTATGTGTGTATATAATACTCTAATGACCATGTTTTTATACTGTTTTTATTTGACTTTTTACAGTAGCCACCATTTTATTATTAATGATTAACAATAAAATCTAGGACTGTGAGGAAATGCTTATATATCTGTTCCTTACATTGTAGTAAACCTGGGGAAAAACCTTTATGTTGGAGATTAAAAAATGAAAAAAATCTGCAGGTCTGGGGAAGCAAGTCTGTGGTCTTCAAACCAGATTTTGAGTACAGTTGTTCTGGTATTTTTCTTTTTTTTAATTGTTAAATTTTGGCCCTAAAGATATCGATGGAATGTGGCATTAAAAGGGGGCTAGCCCATATTGTTTCAATCAGTTCAGTTTTAGGAGAATGAAGAAAAAATACTTCTTTTCCTTTTTGTGTTTGGTTTTTTTTTTAAGGGAGGTTTTCTCTTAAACAGATTTAGAAAATCTAAAATATGTGGGATTCAAAAGAGGACCTGTTCAAATATTAATTGAAATTTCTGCAATTTATTTTTCCATTGTTAACTCTGGAAAGTGAAAGGGCTGATAGTCCTGTATTTTGTGATGTGACGGTTAAAATTACTTGGAAGAAGTCCCTCAGCTCATGCAGAAGCAGGAAGGCCAAGGCTGGGGTGGGCTTCATAACCGTAGTGCCCACACGTTAATGCTGCTGCTTCGGACTTCCTCCAAGCTCCTGGTTGCTACAAATGCTCTGTAAATGCTTGATAAGTTCTGTAAAGCTGATGCTTTAATCTGAGACTTACTTTGGGAATACGGGGTTGGAATTAAATCTTTTGAGTCATCATCTGGTTTCCTTAACTTGGAAGCTGCTCTATCAAATAGCGACCTGTTCATAAGTTGAGTCATCTGGCTGTATTCCAGCCTAAAACCGCTCCGGGAGATGAGAACTTCTCCTGGTTTTCCTTTGCATTGTTAGTGAAATCTGAGTCTCCTTGAGATCAGTGGAAGGCAGGTTCAGGAGGACTGGAGGTCTCCCTCCAGAGTCAGGACTGGGGAGGGACCTGTTGCCCCGGAAGACAGCATCTGCGGTGCAGAGCACCCGGCTTGCGGCCATCTGAAGTGGTAACTGGCGCTTACTGGTGCCAGAGCTCGCCTTCAGCACTGAGGATGAGAGCTCTGTGCTCATCTGGGAAGGCAGGAATGTGTCACTGGGTGTCTGCAGTCACCCTCCCACCAATTCCTCCACATCCCATGGCTGGCGGTAGGCGGCTTCCCACGGCTCAGGCTGGGGTCACAGTGTTTCGTCGCTAAAAACGAGCTGCAGCCGAGATGCAGTGGGAGTGTGTTTGCTGGAACTCCGTAGGCTGGTGCAGAGCAAAGGCAGTTGCTGAGGAACCGTGTTACTGTTTGGGTTTTTTTTGTCTGTTCAGATGAAGGAGAAAGTTGTAGGGCTTCATTTGATCTTTATTCTTCAGTTGTGTTAAATCACAGAAAGGCTGATATCACCGAGTCCCAGTGCTTTATCAGCAAATGTCTTTTATTGCCCGTGACTTTTTGATTCTGCATGATAAACATTTTCCTGCCTCGCTTCCTTTTTTCCCAGGCTTTTCATGTTCTTCCTTTTTGTCTTAAATGTCAGCAGAACACTTGGTGAGCACAATAGTAAGGGGCAGGTACAGAGGAGAGATGCAGCCGTTGTTTTCTCTTGTCTTCCTCTTTTATCAGGTGGGCCAGGTAGGAATTGGTTTCTCCCTGAAAACGTTTCCCTTGCAAAGCACGGGAAGGTTTCTGGTACGGATTTTGCTTACAAAATTCTAAACTAAAAACGTCATTGCAAATAGTGGTTTTGTTTTATTTTTGGAAATGGGAAAAATCGGGGATTTTCTTGGGTTTTCAGTTGTTTCCTCTTTCGTAGCTGTTAATTCTTCTGCAGTTACGTTTGTCCAGGTGAGGAGTAAGGAGGCATGGGGCAGGCAGGGAGGGGCAGTGCACAGCGAGTGCGTGGCTCCCCCGTTACAGCCACAGTGCTTAACAACGGGCAGTGGCCTCGTCTGCTGCAGAGAAGTGGGCTTCCAGCTCTGGGTAGGGTGGAGCTGGGCTGAAGAGCTGCCAGGGCTTCTCCCCTGCCGCAGGCTGCGGAGTACAGTTACTTCACCATTAATAACAATTAGTCACAATCTCTGGTATAGCCCCATCTTCTTGAGAACTGCTGGGTGCAACTCACCTCTCTGGTGAGACAGACCAAAGAGGAGAAGGGTGAGTGCCTTTTGTTAGCCCGGCAGCTGGGCAGGCAGAGCTTCTGCAGAAGCTTGAAAAGATCCTTGTCTTTGCGAGTGCCCGTCTGTGCCTCTTCTTCACTCTTCGCACAGCACCTGCGTGGGTGTCTGAGGTAGGAGTAGGGAGTGAGGTGCTTAGGAAGGGCCATCTTGGAGTAGATAGGTGATCCAAGGCAGCCTAAATTCTTGCTGGGACACCTGAGTAAAAACCTTAATACTTGTCTTCCTTCCCCCATCTTTTTTTTTGTTGTTGTTGTTTCAATTCAGCAGAAGGTCTCAATAGCCACAGAGTGAGGAAAACAGAGTTTGGGCTGCCTCTGCCCTGTGCAGTTCTGCTTTCCAGCCAGAAAACTGCACAGGAGCGGGTGCAGCGCGTTAGGCACAGGAAGGGAGCTGGGTGCGTGAGGGAAGAGGAGCCTGGAGCGAGGCAAGGAAATAAGGAAGCAGGAAAGCTGTGCTGAGCGCAGATGTGTGCGTGTACATATATATACACCTGTGCATAAGAATATTGCTTTGTCAGGTCTGATACTGGCCACAAACCTCATGTGAGTGGGTTCCCTGCTCCCCCTGCCCCGCAGCGAGGCCGGGTTTGTGGGTTTTAGTGCCGCAGGACACCTCCTGTGCACACACAGCAGCTGTGCTCAGCCTGTGGGGCCATGGGGCGGGCGAAAGGGGGGGATGCCGTACAGGTGCTGGGGTGCTGTCTCAGTGACCCCACCAGAAGGCACATTCTGCTGTTACGCGCTCGCCCCACAGACACCCTCTGCTGCGGGATGTGGGGGGTGTGTGTGTGTGTCCTCCCGCAGTGCCTCCACCGAACGGTGTGTAGCTACTCTCTGAGCAGCAGAACTAGTTCGGCTTGGTTTTGTCTGGAGTGCTGCCCCATTTTTCTACCTGCCCCCCGCCACCGCCACAATAGCTGCATCCCCACTTCATGTCCCGCTGTAATATCCTCCTGGCTCTCATGGTCCCAGCAGTGAAGGGAAAGACGAACGGCTCTGTTTTCTGCTCAGTGTAAGTATTAAGTGTCTAATTTATCAGCCTTCTTTTGCATGTAGAAACTCAGTTGTTGAGATCATTTCCCCTGTCTCAAACATGGCTGGAGGGGAGGTAGAAAAGGTTACTGTCCCGACAGATCAGATAAAAGTTGCTTCCTTAGAAAACCTGGCTTGAAAGAAATCCAGTTTCATCTTCCCTTCAAAAAATGTAGGCAGGATTCGGGAGAGATTATCAAGAATATATATAGCAGGCAGCAAGCTGCAAGCGGGAGCAGTGGCTGGAAAGCTTCAGGAGGAGGGGAAGGTGGGACTGCCTGGTCGGGAGGCCCAGCGAGCGCAGGGCTGCACCCGCCGGCACTGCTGGGTGTTTGGGCTGCAGCTGCCTTTGTCTGCAAGGAGCCACGGACAGCCAAAAGGGATCTTGCTCAACCGCCTCGAACTCTGTGTTTCCTGTTGCAAATCCAGACAACTGCTCCTTGCTGTCCTGTTCACTAATGACTTTGGCTTCACCACCTTTTTGTTTTGTTCCTTAAGGCAGGATATCCAGAAACAGATCCCAGAAATTAACAGAGTGGGTAGAGAAGCATAAGGCATCCCATTCCAAATGTGATGAATGATTTATACCCGCACTGCTCACAAAGAGTCTAGGAAGGAAATTATGCTTTAAAGATTTTTTTGGTACGCGATATAAGAAGTTTTACCAATATTTCTTCAGAAAAATATAAACCAGGAAACAGCATAAAGCTCTCCCCAGAATGGAGTAATTAGCAAATACAATAGAAATATTAGCCAAGAGTCCTTGAAGGGAAGGGGGAAGGAAACGATCAAATCTTCCACATCTCTGTGTGATGACCCAGTGCATAATGGTAGGAAACGAGAAGCAGATAAACAGGAAAAAAGAGGAAGGAGCTGGCAGGGAAAACGCGGGAGGGAAAGAACAGGCAAGTACTGTGAGAGGCTCTGATAGACACCTTTAACAATAGGAGCAGGAAAATGAGTTCGAAGAGGACTCCATTTCGAGTAAATCGTGGGTCAAATGAG